GCCATTACTGCCATCTTTTATTCCCCTCCGCTCGACCTACTGTTAGCTTTCTCTTTCCCCGCTCAAAAGTTTTTACACTTATTCTGATTTTTCACGAATTTAAACATGAATTGGCAATTCGATATTCATAAACGAATGTGAATGGAATTTCAAAATCAAAATTATAACTAAAATATTATTTAAAAAAATTATAATGTACTAATAAAATTATACGATGAATTATTTTAGATGTAGAATTTAAATTATATATTATTTAAGCAACCTGTCATGTGAATAACATTTTTCATTTTATTCTCGTCCCACTTTTTTAATGATATGTTCACTCGACGACCAGGTTTATAATCCACGGCGTATATACGTATGTACTATATGTATAACGACACTGTATTCCTTCTCGCTGTTTGGTTCATTTGTGGACTCTTCAAAACGTACCTAACCTAACTATCTTTCCCGCGTTTTACACGTTATTTAATATATATGTTATTATCAGTAGGATGAATACGATACTTTGAATTTTAGAAACATGAATTAAGATTTGTTTAAAGAATTTCGTACAGTGGCAGTATGGTATTAAATTACATTAGATAACGTCAAAAGATAAAAGTTTTGCGTCACAACAGAATGGTAAGTAACTACATAAATAACACTTTTTTGTTACATTTCGTTCTTTCCTTACACAGCTCACGAAATAATCGTTAAAAATATGTACTATTCACATAAATACAAGTAATCCTTTGTTACAAATGTTGTACATTGATGGAATACTATAATTCACCCATACAAAAACGGTAGTAACAAGATTTTATATGAACGAGGAACAACGAACGACGCAACAGAAATAACTGCGTGGACTTACTTCATCATGCAAACGGACAATCTTGGAGTTTCAAAGAAATCTTTCCTTTTCCGTATACATTCTCCATTCTCACATCTGGTACATCGTATTTCGAAAAATCACAGTATCATCTCAACATTTTCGTTAAAATATATTACACACTGTTCACATATATATTTCAATAAACTATAAATCATAAATGTAAACCTACGCGAGGTTAAAAATCAACGTTGCACGTTGACGTTTGAGGTTAGAATCGACAGGTAGCAGTAGTGGTAAAATTGGAAGCACGCATGCGCAGAACACCATACGGTATATTACGTATCCAACTTCAATCTTGTTCTCGCCGCGCATTTCAACTTCCAATAATGTAAGCATCTATAGTATATTGTAAACAAACATACATAGTGCCACAACTATTTAATAAATTATGAAAGAACATAATAATAAGTAATGTGTAAACAGAATCGATGCAATATCCTACACGTTATAGACTACTTTTTGTTTTTTTTTGTTTTTTTTTTAAATTCGAATTCGATATGAATATTTGACTACATTATTAGAAAAAAAATATCCTTCTCTAGTCCCCTTCTCTAGTACTGTTTATATAAATATGTGCACACTTTTTGTACTATTAATTCTTTGTATTATTTTCAAATTTGTTTTACTTTTTTAACTGTTATCTCTTTAAATAAATAATTGAATCATTTTTTACAACTTTAATAGTAATGTATAATAGAAATAACATATAATAAAAACAATAATGTATAATAGAAATAATGTATAATAAAAATAATAATGTATAATAGAAATATTATAATAATATATAATAGAAATGTATAGTTTTATGTAATGCAAATTTATTTAAAGACATATATCATTTTTTCTATGTTTAAAACTATATATTACTAAGGGTAATAAATGATTAAAAAAAATTGATAAGATATAAATATGAAAATATATCGGAATTATAAATTACATCAGTTTGTAATTATTGGTTACTATCAAACTATAAAAAGATTCATTTGTTGCTTACTTGATTAATCATATCTATTCTCTAGTAATATACAATAGTTTTAGTAGGAATAAAATTGTTACGAATTTCTTCATTTAATAAAATTCTTACATTCTTGACAAATATTGTCGCGACAACTGAAAGAAATTAACTAACAATTATCACTAATTAAAAGTATACCCATTTACAATAATTACGTACGTCATATACAATCAACAGAGATAAAACTATGTAGCAGAGCTCATCAAACTTGTAAAGTTTCAAATATACGTACATTCGTCGAAACATTAAAACGGTTTTCCACGAAATGAAGATTTTTTTCGAGATAAAGTGGAGCATTCATGATTTAGAAATGTCTTTTATGAAAATTTTGATATCATAAATGTTGTAAAGTAATAAGCAGATAATGTTATTGTATGTTATTAATCCCCGCAGAGATACCAGAAGATAAAAAAATTTGTACCTACGCTTCAAGATAAATTTTTGTTTTAAATTTTGTAATCAAAACATTTCGTTATTCAGATGAATTCAAATTAATATTTTTGTGAGTGATGTTTCTAAAATTTTCAACCTTCTTTTTAAATTACTTTATAGTTTTTATTTTAATAGAAATAAAAATTCACTCACAACAACTGATTAATTTACATTTATTATATATCGGTGCTTTTTTATATTTTTATTGAAATAAATTTATTATTTATATTTCTGAAGAATTTTAATCCGCATAAATATATCATCACTTGTTAAAACAGTTATTTATGATTTCTTTTATTGGAATATGAATTCAGAAATATGTAAAATATCTTTAAAGCGCGAAAAATTCTAATTATTCAAAAAAATGTTAGTGTACTAAAAATATTAAAGTTGTTATAAAAAATAATTAAATAATAAAAAATGTTTAAAACATTAAAACAATTAAAAATGATAGACTTCAAATTTAGTTCTTTCATACAATCATGTACCTCATTTTACACATTTATTAAAACGTTTTTAACACAGATTACTATTCTTTTATACATTGCTCAATTTTATAAGTAGAAAAACTGTTAATATAACAGAGTCAAAACTGATTCCAAGAATCACATTTACGTTTTAAATCAGTTATTAATTCTTCTAAATTTATTTTCGAGATTATAATATTTATCATACAAAGAAATTTAAATCGTTGTTAAGTTTTGTATAGAAAAGTTATAAATTTAACAGGGTCAAATCTGTCCTTTTGCTATAGTACTTAAGAGTTAAATGCAATTGTTAATGCTAAACTTATTGTCAGTTAAATGTGTACTACATTTAATAACGTAACCCAAAATTATTTAATTAAATACTTAAAAAGAATAGTAAATTTCTTTTACTGCATTTGTGGTATAATGCAGAAATAATTGGTATCGGAAACAGATGTGTAATATTTTATTAATTTCATGAAATGTGTATTATATTGATCTGATTAAATGCGTGTCGGAGCATTTGCATCAAAATACCCTGCAGGCAGGTACAGATTCTGTGTCACGTAGAGCACGTGGTTTCTGATATGTTAATTAAAAGTTCAAATTTCCATTAAGCGAAGAAACAATTTTTTTTCCGAAAAAAGAAAACATTAAAAATCATAATTGTATTCATTAATGATTATAATACAATCATTTCATCTAATTGAAATGGGTGAATCGTGACTCAGACCTCTGAAACGTATTATACAACGCTAATTAAAATTTCAGATATTTAACCTTTAGCAGGTTAAGACCAATTTAAAAATAATAAAAGTAACTGCTAAACAACTAATATAAAGTTCAAATAATGAGAATGAAAATTGAAAACTCAATTTAATATAGAATAACACAATTTTGTTATTTGGAAACTTGAAAATTAATGCACCATCCAATTTTTTTATTTTATTCCATCTTCGTTTCATTAATATTTATTTTCAATCGTTTCGTTCCGTTTGTACAATTCGATAAAGAATCATTTATAAATTCATTTAAATTGCAAATATTGTCATACTTATCCCAAATATTGAAATAATCAGGCCAGAAAGTAGGTTACAAATATATATTAGTTTCGTTACAAAATTAACAGGAAAAAAAGATAAGAAATATATCGTTCCCGTTAAAAGATTCACAAAACTGATATCCATTATCTTTTAATAGTACGGGATTACTTAAACCTCCTACCTAGTGAGTTATTTTTAGATGACCTGCAGAACTAAAAATTAAAGGACTGAAGTTCTTCAAATTTGTTTTACATGTTTGTTTACATTTTCAAGAATGCACAATAAAATTTTGATACAATTATGTTATGCGTTTCATATTAATGTACGTTGCTTGCAGCATATCGCTCTCACAGCTGCCACGATTCATGATTGATGTATTCATCTAAAATAAAAAAAAAAGACGAAGATAATTTCAATCTATACGAGTGTGATTATCATGCCTACCAAAATAAAGCAATGTGATAGTATAAAGAAAAAATTTCAATTTTATCACGAAACTTTCAACTTTCTCTCGCGATAAAAAACTAATGCAAATACTGATAAGGTTTCAATGCTATGAACGTCTATTTTATATACGATTTGTACTAAAATCGTGGCAGCCATTTAAAATGATGTAGCTACAAGCAATACGTATGAAATAATTTATAAAGAGAACGAATATTAAAGAAAGAATATTAAACCTTTTATGATTGTATTTCAAAATAGCTTTTTGAAAATGGCGCCATTTTTTCAAATTATAATTACATTTATATATTTAAAAAAAAAACTTTTTAATTTTATAAAAATAGTTATTCACAAATTTTTTAACCAGTCGAGGTGGTACAAATACAAAACATAACTGTATAAAAATTTCTCTGTGCTTTTCTGCAAAACGTAAACAAACATTTCCATATATCTTCCTAATAATTTTTTTCGTTTTAACAAAAATATTATTAAACATTTTTGTGAAAGTATGATCAAAATCATTGAACACTGGTACGTCGATGTACGTTCTAAAAATAAAAATAGAAAATATTAAAGCTTGAATGGGTAGCCGAGTACTCGGTTGGCCACACGAGGGTTAATTATGTCGTACGCGCCACACAGTCGCGCAACGTGACGCGATATCAACACACGTAATGCACACGTAGACACACGCACACGTACACGTACACAAATAAGCTTACCTGTGCAGCTGTACTGGAGTAGATCTCGCGGGTAAATGCTGGTTATGCGAGACCGGTGGTTGCGTCTGACCCCTGCCAGGGGTCGACGTTACGCCGACCAGTGAGTGGCCATGGGTCCCATGAGGATGACCGTGGGGGTGGGCGTGTGGGTGTGGAGGATGAGAGTGGGGGTGAGGATGATGATGGTGATGCAAATCTCCCCCCACTGGACCCACAGGGCCCACCGGACCCCCCACCCCCAGTCCGCTCACTACCTGGACTTGCTTGCCCACTGTCTCCATCACCCCTAGCGCATTGTGTACTGAAACAAGTCCCAGAAAAATTCCTTTCAAATTTCACGTTTATGTCTGCCTTCTACATTCGTCGATTAACTCTTGTAATACACTCCTAACCTGCACTTACGTACTAATTGAGACCGATGTAACCAAAGGTCTTTAACACTAAACCTACCAAAGCGCTTAAATGACCATTTAACAACTTCCTTATTTTAAATTGCGAGCTATGTTAAGGTTTTTTTGAAATCTGTATTAAATTTCAAGATAAAGAATTGATGTGTACATTAATTTGTATTTTTCTTTTCAAAATTCTATTCTGAAATTAAAAAATTTCCAAATAAATGTGCGCTATACGCAGATAGATTTAGTGTTAACCCTTTATCGTATCATTTATTTCTTGCATCGGTCGAGACTATTCACTGTTACGACAATGAAACCAGTCAAGGTAGTTGGAATGTGTTGTATATTTTATATTCCGTGATTACTTGACGGTGCAAATTATAATTGGATTCAAATTTGAAATTGAAGCGTATTTAAAATTTGAATAAAGTTTATATGCTTGAACTGTTAGTGCGTATTTGAACTCGAAATACGATAAGGGGTTAACTTGATAAAACAAATTAAAAATTAAATTGAATTTACACTTCAGTTAAATTCACAAGTTTGCGATCTTTTAAATTTTTCAAATATCTAAATTCCGAAACTTACAAATTTATCAAATATCTTAAATTCAACAGTTTTTGAATTTCTGAAATTTTTGAAATTCTAAATTTCCAGATTTAAATTTCTAAATTTAAATTTCTAGATTTAAACCTGAAATTAAAAATTTTCCAGATCTCCAAATTTTTCAAATTTCGTCAATTTGATGCATTTTCCAATTTTCAAAAATTCTAAATTTTTACATTGTCAAGTTTTTAATTTTCGAAATTGTGCAGATCTCTCAAATTTCTAAATTCCAACTCTTACAAACTTTTTCACTTCCAAAATTTTTATATCCCAATTCTCGAAACTCTAAATTTCCAAAATTCTGAATTGCCAATTTACAAAAACCAAAACTCCAAATTTCTACAATTCTGAAGAAAAACAGTTTTAAATCAAAAAATTGTTATATGTTCTATTCATGAATGAAACGAACGATGAGTCCTCTTTCCTCTAGGGAAGCGTCACTGCTCGCCAATGTACATATATGTGTACATATATCCGTTTCTCATGTAGATTGGTTAATAAGATCATTAACCTTCATCTATTCGGACTCATTGTCAGATACAAAAGATTGGTCACTATTTAACGCTGGCTGTCGTTTATCTCATACCAGTCATGAAGCGAGCGTTTCTTAGAAAATGTATTTCCCGACAGCATTCAACGTGACTTTAAAAGAAGGACGCATTTCATTCTTTTAAGAATATTATTTGCATTTTGTTCCATTTTTTTTATGTAAATTTTTCAATTCTCTTTAGTAAAAGATGTTTACGAGAAATGAGCATACAAAAGAAATGAGAATGAACTGAATCGATGAGTCGACTTTTTCTTGATAATCTTGATAAAGTTTCAAATTTTCAATTTTTTTTTTATTTTTACATTTAGAACATGGAAAATTGGAGATTTGTGAAGGTAAGAATGTAGGGATTGGAGAATTTGAGAATTTTTAAATTTTGGGAATTTGAGAATTGGGAAATTGGGGGATTTAGAAATTTTAGGAATTTGAAAATTGGGAAATTAGGGAATTAGGAAATTGGGGAATTTGGGAATTAGGGAATTTGGGAATTGAGGAATTTGGGAATTAGGAAATTAGGACATCTGGAAATTGGGGAATTCGTCTATTGAGGAATTGAGGAATTTGGAAATTGAGGTGTTTGAAAATTTGGATATTAGGAAATTAGGAAATGTGGGAATTGAGAAATAGGGGAATTGGGAAATATGGGAATTGGAGAATGTAGGAATTGGAGAATTTGAGAATTAAAGAGTTTGGTAATTTGAAAATTTTTAAGAATTTAAAGAATTTTGAGAGAACCACAAATTTAATAACTATTACCCTTTCTTTTCTTATTGATTAATAAAAATTGTTCTCAATTTCACGCGGTGTTCACTAAATTAGTTAATATCCTTCTCTAAACCGTTAAAATTTCAGTTTTCGGATCCTGACCAAATTATATGCTCGATTACAATTATCGTATTATCGTATTACAAAGCAGATCCATCACTTAGAGACACCGACGAGCATGGTAGGTTTTCTAGAGAAAATTATGACGTAGGGTAAAGAAGTCCAACCACTTACTGCTATTTGGATATTCTATTTTCAAATTAAAAATCGTAATTGGAGGGAATACGTTAAAAAATTTGGTGTTTTTAAAAATTAATAACTTGAAAATTTAGAACTTTGAAAAATTTGGAGCTTCAAAGATTTGGAAAGTTTCAATTTGAAAGTGGATTTGGAAATTTGAAACTTCAAAGACATAGAAATTTAAGAATTTAGTAATTTATAAATTCTGTAATTTGAGGATTTGAAAATTCGAAGCTCCACGAATGTAGAAATTTTACATTGTTATAGTTTTGGAAGTTGGAAATTTGAAAATTTGAAACTTGAGAAATTTGGGAATTAAGAAATTTAAGAACTTGGATATTTGAAAACTTTAATGGATTATTCAATGCAGTTATATTCGATTTTGGTGTATAGTATAATAATTGTACGAATATGGTACAATATGTAGTATAAATGTAGTACAATATTCTGCATATGCATTATAGTAATATTTGGAAATAACTAGTGACTGTAGGCTGTATGTATTTAATTGTTAAAAGTGGAGAGCTGCCTTTTAGAATTTGCTCTGATGACTGAATATTTCAAGTATTATTTTTGGAGAATTTTTGGGGTCCCTAACATAAAATTCATACGGTCCAGCTATCCTTGTTTACTTTATAGTACATTGTTCAGGAAAGAGAAGGACAAAAACCATTTTGTGGCGGGCAGCTTCCCCAAGTTTTCAGATGGCATTTGAGCCTGTAAATATTTGGTTTACAAAAATGTGGAAAAATGCGACTCCGTCTTTCTAAGATTCTAAAGCTACGAAACCATATTTTGTCATAATTTCTTTTAAAAAATATTCTTCGTACAGTAATCTATGTCGGTTAAGAGCAATTTTTTGGAAAAATAGAACATGATCAAATTTCTTCTATAATAACGTACATGATTCCTTCGCGTGAAATTTTGAGGGTAAATTACAAAATTGGGTTCTTTACCGATCTATATTATTCTACAAAGAATATTTTGCAAATTAAGTCATTACAAAATATTGCTCCTTGGATTCAAAACCATGGGAAAATGAAGTCGCTTTTTTGCACATTTTTTACTGTCTTTGTCTTTCCTAATCAATACAGCACAAGATAAACAAAGATCGAAGCTTATCAATTTTCCATCAGAAGCCAAAAAAACCCACCAAGATAATACTTGAAGTTTACGGTTATCAATGTAGATCTTTAAAGATATTCTTAGCTTCCCCCAGATTCCCCTTAGATTTTATCCTATCCGTTGTTCCTCAGATAAACTCTGATATCACTAGAATTAGATTCTACCGAAACAGATTGCACCTAACAATCAAGAGGATTTAAATACGAGCTAAACGATGGCCAAGAGCTCCTTGCATAATAAAATCGATCATTTCGTCCTCGCTATGCTGAGGTCCTTTGGGCTTTAAGTGCAGACACTCAATTCTGCTGAAACTTTTATTGTTCTTTCTTAAACATTGTTTCAGTTAATAATGTAATAATGTTCTCGATAATTGTTTTTTATATATTTTTGCATCTAGTGCAACATTATTTTCGTGATAAAGACATTTTAGTTGCAACGTAAGACTTTTAATGAATTTTCAAATTTTTTAATTTGTAAATTTCTCAAATTCTCATATTTACAAATTCATAAATTTAAAAATTTAAAAACCTAAAAATTTTATAAATTTACAAGTGTATACAATTTTTAATTTTCAGGTTTATAAATATTCAAATTTCTTGGAGTTCTTAAATTACCAAATTTCTTACATTTCTTGAATAACCGAATTTTTACCCCTCTAAATTACTCAAATTCCTTAATTCACAAATTTCCACGACAAATATATTTCGATAACATAAGATACTTAATTATTGAATGAATAGTAATGCTCGAGATCTATATTTATGAAATACGCAAAAACTTGCTTTGATTATAGTTATGTTCCAATTTTTTGATGAATGACTTTCGCAAATCGAATTAATAAAAACAAGTCAAATTCTCGAATTTACAAACCTCAAATTTTTTAATAAAAAACCATCAAACCTTCAAAATCACAAATTCTTAATTTTATAAATTAAATTTTTAAATTACCAATTTACAAATCTATAAAATCATAAATTCTTAAATTTAGGAATTTTCAATTTTTCAAATTCGTACATCTTTAACAGTATAAATTCAAATGACTGCTTCATGTATTTCCTATTTGAAATTGCAAAAGTTGTTAAAATGCTCTTCGCAAAATCTGTGTTGACACTTATCACGATAAAAAATTAATGTGTGTACTCAATTATCGTTTGTTTACTTATTTCTCTTTACTTTTAATTTCAAAGTATACATTATACGCAGGTACTGTTACTGATACATAGTTCATATATTAGATCAAGAATTATACGTCGCAGAAAAACGATGAAAATAGGGATGTGATCAAATCCCTTGCTATGATCAATACACGAAAGATGTTAAAATAACTCTCTTTTATTGTTTCGTCCACAAAGGTTTCTCTTTTTCATGCTTGTTCAAAAATGTTCTGATAGTTTCATTAAACTGTTCTTCAGATACGAATTCGATCAGAGTTTGTTGTTTATATTTGAACTCATTCAGATATAGAATGATCAGAGTTGTTGTTTTAACATCTTTCGTGAACTGATCATATACCTTAGGGATTTCAACAAATCCCTATTTTTTATCATCTCCCAACGACATATATATCATTTTGATTTAAAAGCCAGTAATTAATTATTTATTTCAAACGCACAGCCTCTG